GTTGTCCTCAGAGAATGATTTTCTATCATAGCATCAGTCTGAGTTGTTTAGGGATCTCCACAGGACCTCCTCGACCAACAACTCAAATGAATCAAACCCAGAGACAAACACACACACACACACACACACACACACACACACACACACATTTATATATCCAGTTCAGCCTCCATATCCTTTACTACTAGGAATCCTTGCTAGACTCACTAGAATCAACAGATTCCAGGTTTCCACTGCACTAGGTTTCTATACCACAATCCGGAATGCCCCAGTGTCAGCAGTCTCTCCCAGCACACTCTACCTCCACCCCACCTCTACCTGATTGATCCCTCTTGCTCCCATTCCCACCTGTCTCCAGCCCACCTGCAGAATCTATTTCTCCTTCCAAGAGAGATCTCTACCTTTAATTATTTTAAACCACATCTTTAGTAATGGTTCTTCTTTAAACGTTTTTTTTTTTTTAATTCCATCACCCACCAGAGGTTGTGGAAAAGAAAGGATATGGGGCAGTGGGTGTGCTTAAAAGCTTTTTGGAGTAACTCCAGTCTGTGTTGTCTGGAAATTGGCAGTTGAGTTTATAGGTTAACAGTGTCAGCTCAATCTACTTGTAAACACTTTTCAGATACATCTGTACTCTAGTTTGTGAGAGTCAGGATAGCAGCAGCAGTGGTGTGATCTAGCTGAGACAGTGAGGTCTCACCCTTGGCTCTAGTAAAGAGGAGGGAGCAGGTTCAACAGTAATGCCAGGAAAAGTTCTTGGCCGTGCCTGTCAGCAAAGTGAAGATGAAGAAGATGTGAGGCCCATAGATAGGTGTTGAATAGCTAGCTCTACAAGCAAGCCAACTTCAGCCCCAACCACTGTCTGTCACGTCCTATTTATATCCCTCTGTGAAGGTTTGTATATCCTTGGCCCAGGGAGTGGGATTTTTTTTATTATTATTATGTTTGGTTTTTCGAGACAGGGTTTCTCTGTGTAGCCCTGGCTGTCCTGGAACTCACTCTGTAGACCAGGCTGGCCTCAAACTCAGAAATCCACCTGCCTCTGCCTCCCAAGTGCTGGGAGTAAAGGCGTGCACCACCACTGCCCGGCAGGAGTGGCATTTTTAGAAGGTGTGGCCCTGTTGGAGTAGGTGTGTCACTATGGGTGTGGGCTATAAGATTCTCATTCTCATTGCCTGGAAGTCAGTCTTCTACTATCAGCCTGCAGATGAAGATGTAGAACTCTCAGCTCTGCCTTCACCATGCCTACCTAGATGCTGCCATTCTCCCACCTTGATGATAATGGACTGAATCTCTTTGAACCTGTAAGTCAGCTTCAATTAAGTGTTGTTCTCTGTAAGATTTTCCTTGGTCATAGTGTCTGCTTACAGCAGTAAATCCCTAACTTAGACACCCTTTAAACATCATGTGTCCTCTCTGGGTCTTGTCTCAGTACATGTGTCTGTCTTAGGCAACATCACTGTGTCAATCATCCCAAGTCTGCAGAAATGGCAAAGAAGCTTCCACACACCACCAGAAGATTTTGGTGCATTTCTCTCTATGGAGTCTCGACAAATGGCTCACAACTATGCAACGTGAGTCTGACTAATACATGTGTGTCATTAGGGAAGACCCTTTCATCACATTCCTTTCATATGTTTGCTTTAGCACAACCTCTTTTCTCTGTGTCTGCTTTAGTGAAACGTTCCTTCATGAGTCTGCCTAAATCTTTCATCTCTGTTCACTTCAGGAAAGCACTCCTTCATGTGTTTGCCCCAGCAAAACACCATCCAACACAACTGACTCTCCAAAGAGTTTCCACTTCAGAGGTCCATTGAAAGCACATTTTAAAACTCCATATCCCTCCTGTCCATGCAAGTCCCAGGAATTAGCTCCTAAATATGGTCCTAGTGCTCAGATCCATGAGTTGCTTCTGGGAAAACCCAACTTCTGGAGAGATTATTTAAGAAGGAATAACAAGGGAAAACAAGGACTTGAAAACTGGCCCTCCAGTTTGACCTTGAAGACTTAGCATGGCAGTGTGGCAAGATGTCACCTTGTGTTTTAGCTCCTTCAACTTGAGAGGCACCTTTTGGAACTTAAGTTGACCATGGTTCCTTACAGTCCATTTGTAGAGAAAATGTTAGCCAGAGCGTCCCTGAGCACAGCCAGAAGAGGTCTCTGAAGTCTCTGATTAAATATGTGAATTTGAACATGGCTATCTACCGGTTTCATCCCCTAAGTCCCTGAGAAACTTACGTCAATTCTACACCAAGAAAGCTAGATAGAGTCTGTGGGAAGCAGCTCCACTGGTGCCATTACAAGATGGCGCTTGGCAAAAGGCCAGCCAGGATGACTGGGCAGTGCTTGAGAGAAAAACAACTCCATATATGGATAGCTTGCGCTAAGAGGTCTGGTTGCCAGGTCATCCAGCCTCTCGTCATAAGGAGTGACCAATTACCAGTGTTCTTGTGGCAGTTACTGATAGGAGTGAGGCAAAGCTTTAAAGGGCTGAAGGTGGTGGTGTGGTGGATGCTGGCAGCACAAAAGAAGCTTACAATGCAAGGGTTGCTGAATAAACTGCTCGAAGAAGAACACTATTGTCTTTGCCTTATTCCGCTGGTCAGATGCTGGCGAGCAGCAAGTGGTGGTCCATATGGGGAGCCTAATTTGCCTCTCAGGACGTGTTCAGAACTTCTTGCGTATTCAGGGCAGTCGACTGGCTAAGTTCCCAGGTAGGTGGGACAGAGAAAGGTTCTCGGTTTAGAGACTATAAAGCTCCCAAGTAAATGGGACAAGTTAGGTTCTTGGAAGAGACGATAAAGTGCTAAAGTGAAGGTAGCTGATAAATTTCCGAGTTTTTCGGACAGAGTTAGCACTGTTATGGGAAGTACACAGAGTCACCCAATTTTTGTTGCCCTAAAAGAGCTGTTAAAGGCAAAAGGGCTGGAGATTCAATTCTCTATATTAGAAAGATTTTTTACAGGAAATAGACAAAGTAGCCCCATGGTTTGCCGTGTCGGGTCACCTGACACAAGTTGGGATAGACTTAGAAAAGACCTTGATTTTGCATGGGAACAAGGAGAACTGAGAGGAGGCATCCGTCCGTTGTGGAGATTGATGCGTAGTTGCATCCAAAACAAGGAAGGGAAGTGCCAGAGGGAACTTAGAAAAGGAGCAAAGGCGTTAGCACAGCTAAAACAGGAGAGGGTTAATGAGGTCCGAGAAACTAGAGGAGATAGACGAGGAGATACTGAGAAGGAGTTAGATAAGTTGGTAAAAGGACTAGAGAAGGCGGAAATTAATGTGGAACCTTCCGCTCCAGGGCTGCCGAGTGTACCGCAGCCATCAACCTATGTGCCTGAGACGCAAGCGTCTCACGGCCGGAGCTTTTGCCCGGAAGCCTGGAAAGAAGCAAGAGCACAACAGTGCTTTCCCGTGTTTCAGGATGGGGGGGGGGGAACAGGGTATATGAGCCCTTGGAGTTTAAAATAATCCAACGGCTCGAAGGGGTCTGTGCTTACGGTACTAGGGCGGCCTTTGTCGGGGCGCAATTAGAATCTCTTCACAGATATTGCAGGACTCCAAGTGACTGGATGAGTTTGGCCAAAGCCTGCCTGACTCCCGGCCAATATCTTGATTGGAAAGCATTTTTTATAGAATTCTCAGCTGAGCAAGCCACTGCTAATGCAGCTGCAGGGCAACCAGCCTGGAATCAGGATATGTTATTAGGACAAGGGAGATTTGCCAATCAACAAATCAATTATCCAATGCAGGTGTACCCAAAGACAGATTAATTCCCAATTGAACAAGTGGATGTGCTTATGGAAGTGGCACAGCTGGGATGTCAGTGGAAATACACCGGCTTGTGCGTTACCTCAGTGAAATTTGAAAATTCGAGTCATGCAGCTGTGTTGTCTAAAAATTTGTCTCAGTATCTTATAGGAAAGTGGATGGATAACTTTGACTATGGCTTGCCATAGTCCATGTGAACTCCACCCGAGTTGATCTGTCCTTGACTGAAGGGTTGTCATCCTGGATCCGATCTGCAATGAATCATCTGAAGGAGTGGGTGGGAATTGGGGATTTAGCCATTTGCCTTGTTTTTATCAGCTGCCTAGCACTGTGGTGCATTTTGAAGCTAAGCAGTCAACAGCGCAAAGGCAATGCCATGGTTGTTCAAGCAGTTGCCGCCCTTGAAGGGGTCCAGTCTCTGAAAATCTGGCTAAGCTATTTGAAAACCTCAGAATTGTGATTCACAAAGCAGGATGTAGGGCATGGCACTGCAGAGGACGCTATGCATCCTCGGACATATGTCTGACTGCATATAGGTTTTGCCCTAGGTCCTGTCCTCTGGAAAACGGCACCAGGTTGGGTCGCCCGTGGTAACCATACTGTAAACGGCAGGTGGTGAAGTGGGGTTGACAATCTCCCTCTACTACAGAGGGTCAGACCTCTGTGTTCTCCTGCTTGCATATAACAAAAAAGGGGGAGCTGTGGGAAGCAGCTCCACTGGTGCCATTACAAGATGACGCTTGGCAAAAGGCCAGCCAGGATGACTGGGCAGTGCTTGAGAGAAAAACAACTCCATATATGGAAAGCTTGCGCTAAGAGGTGTGGTTGCCCGATCATCCCGCCTCACGTCATACGGAGTGACCAATTACCAGTGTTCTCATGGCAGTTACTGATAGGAGGGAGGCAAAACTTTAAGGGGCTGCAGGTGGTGGTGTGGTGGATTCTGGAGCACAAGAGCTTACAATACAAGGGTTGCTGAATAAACCACTCAAAGAACACTATTGTCGTTGCCTTATTCCGCTGGTTGGACGCTGGGGAGCGACAAGAGTCCACTCATGAAGAGGTGACAGTGAAGGGACAAGACACTGTTTGTTGCTAGTCAATTTTATTTTTGAAATATCTTTGATATACTTGTGTGAAATATATGGTATTCATTACAGTAGCTGACTTTTGCTACTTTGTGTGTGTGTGGGTGCTGTTCTTTTTCCCACAATTTATTTCCCCTGATTTCAGTGTTAACTGCAAAAGACAACACTGTAGAATAATCTATGGACTTTATTTCAGGTTTCTCGGGTAATGCATGGCACCAGGATAGTTGAATCATGTAATTGGACAAAAAAAATTTAATTTCTGTGAAAACCTACTAGGTAATATAAGACCTGGGCAAAATTTTCAGACCACCCAGACCAGTTCTCCATAGCCAAGATCTGTAGGTGGAATTTCAGAGATCTGTAAGATCTCAGCTCCTTTATGATAGGTAAGTTGTTAGTAGTCATGACTGTGAGGGCATAGCAGATCCAAAACAGGAGGAGGCGGTGGGTCTTTATTTCTTGTTTGTTGGTAGATTCAAAAGGAGTCTCCAAGATATTGACAAAAATAGGAATAAAATCCAGTTGTTTGGCCATCCTCTGGCTTTCAGGGTTTAAGTAGCACCAACATGCCACACTCTGGATCAGCAGGATCTTTGTCTTCAATGACATCAACTTTTCTTTCTGCAGCATGAAAGCAACATCTTCCATGTACTCACTGGCAAACTGTGCAGCACCCCTGCCTCCTGTAAGACAAACATTTGTGTTTTCAGAAGTATGTGGTCAATGTAGCTGATAACAGTTCAGAGGCCCTGTGCATTCTTATCCTGTGTGTGTGTATGTGTGTGCATGTGTGTGTGTGTATGTGTGTGTGTGTGTATGTGTGTGCATGTGTGCCTCTGTACATATGGGGATACCTACTATACGTGTGTGCATTCTTGAGGTTAGGACACAGCCTCAGACATCATCCACATTTAAATTATTGTTATTATAATTATTATCATTGTCATCTTGGTTTTCTGAGACATGGTTTCTCTGGCTGTCTTGGAACTCACTTTGTAGACTAAACTAGCTTCCATCTCAAAGATCCAGCTGCTACTGCCTGCTTAGTGCTGGGATTAAAGGTGCGCATCACCACACTGGGTTCTACATATCTTTAAAATTTTTGCAATCAGATGTCTCTCTGGCCAGAACTCCACAAATTGACTAGCCTGACTGGCTGGCAACCCACCTGTCTTCACTTGTCCAGTACAAAGATTACATCCAGCTTTTATGTGGGTTCTAGTGCTCACCTTCCTGTTCTCATGTTTACAAAGTAAGCACTTTACTGAATGAGCTCTCTCTCTAGCCTCCATTTTCTCTGTTGTTTTGGGATTGAATTCAAGGCTTCACCACACCCCCAGACCCAGATTCATATTCTGGCAACCATAGGTGACACTTTGCACAAGTTAAATTTTCCTGTGTGGCTGTGGACATTGGGAACTTGATCAGAGTCATGTGGGAAGCATGGGACTGTCATTGTCTGCAGAGGCTCCTGTCTCCCTTGGCTCTGTTCTGGGGACTGAGGTGGGAATATACCCAGGTGGTATAATCTGGCTGTGTTTGCTCAGCAACATTCTGTCTTTGTACTGGAAGAAACTCTGGACCTGAGACTGTCAGAGCACAGAGGAGATGCAAAGGCTGAGCAAAGATACCTCAGTTGCCCTGTGGTAGAAAAGTGTTTGAGAGTCACTAATGGCTGAGCGCTTCTTGCACATTTCTTACTTTCAACTATTTCAACTACTGGTCAGAACCAAGACCAATAATTCCATATAAGATTTTTCTTCCTTTGACCATTGACCCAGCCTAATCCTAGATTCTCTCTGTCTCTCTGTCTCTGTCTGTCTCTGTCTCTGTCTGTCTCTGTCTCTGTCTCTCTCTCTCTCTCTCTCTGTGCTTGCTTTGGTTTTGTTTTGTTTCTGAGACATGGTTTCTCTGTGTAGCCCTGACTATCCTGGAACTCACTCTGTAGACCAGGCTGGCCTTCAATTCAGAGATCTACCTGCCTTTGCCACCAGAGTGGCAAAGTGTACACTACCACTGCCTGGCAGATTTTGCCCAAGATCTTTCTAGTTCAGTTTCAAATTCCAACAAGATACTAACTGAAACACACATGGGATAGAGTACTTTGGAGTCGAGTCTAGCGATTAGAGCTCTGTCCTCAGATTTTTCTAACTTGTGTTACCCTGATCCCATAATGCTAAGAGTATTCCATTTGATGTTTAAGCTTTAGTGGAAGCTGGGTGTAAGTCCTTGCTTCCCACCAGCATAGCTAAGACTAATATCAAGCTAAAGCATTCTGGTCCTTTTCCCTCAGAACTCGAACATAGCTATCCAGGGAGCTGAGCTTTGTTCATGTGATGCACAGCAGAAGCCACTCCTTTACAAGGCTGGGAATGATTTTTGAGGTTCCTGACTCTCTAGTTTTGACCACTCAATATCTATGGAGGAGGATGAGGATAGGGAGTTCTACATTTCTCCTCATGGATATCATTCTTTGGAGATTTGGCCCCTCAAGCTACATCTAAGTAATTCATTTTCTCACTTAAACAAAACAAAATGAAAACACCTAGACCTTCTAGCTAGAAAGATTTCTTGTAAAGGAAGGGTGTCATGTAGTCTAGGTGGGCCTCTAAATCTATGGTTGTTGGAGATTGGTTGTAAGGCTTTAAATCAATCGGGAGTCTGGGTGTCCAAATGCTAAAGGTCCTTGTCTTCAATTAGTTTTTGACTGATTAATAAAGATACCTTCGGCCAATTGCTGGACAAAGGGAGACTGGATGGGATCCTTAGAGTTTTTAGGGCCAGGACACATGGGGAAGGAGAAAGAATACACCATGACTGGGGAAGAAGGATTAGATGAAGGAGCTACAGGAGAGAAAGCCAACCAGCTGTGTGAGAATTCGGGTGGATTGACACTGGCCACTTCTCCAATTGGGCCTAGGATAGTAAGGGCCCAATTTCTAGTTCAGTTTCAAATTCCAACAAGATACAAACTGAAACACACATGGGATAGAGTACTTTGGAGTCGAGTCTAGCGATTAGAGCTCTGTCCTCAGATTTTTCTAACTTGTGTAGTGCCCAGACTTTGAGGTAGCCAAGGCATTTAAAAATTAGCTGTTCTGGGTGTGTCTGTGTGTATACATGTCAGTCTTTCATTTGCAAATCCAACGAGTTCGTGGGTCTGTGGCTGGAATCACAGGGCCTGGTGGGAGCACAAAGCTGTGTAGCACAACTTCAGTGCTACATATGTTGTCCAGGATATCCTAAAACTTCAGCTCTTTCTGCCTCTATTGAGATTAGAGCTGGTCCTGGGGATTAAATCTAAGCTCTCATGCATGCTAGGCAAGCATTCTGACAACTGAGTGATATTCCCAGGCTCAGATCATATCATTGTTGGCTCTTTATGCCAACTCCAGCAGCAGAGAAGGTTTTGTAAGCAGGAAAGTGGCCAGGCCCTTGACCAAGGAGCTCCAGCAGCCAGGTCCTGCCCCCCAGATGTCCCTAAAGGCCCTACTGGTCATTTTCTTATGGGTGTAAGTATCATTTCCAGTCCCAAGGTGAGAGAGTGCCTAGTTTTCAATACCTTATAAGAAAAAAAAATCCCATTAATCCTTGATTAGGAAATCCCCTCAATCCTTGAGGCCCCCCAAGCTCAGGACTTGAAATCTACCAATCCTCATCCTGGAAATCTCCCCCTGGAAAGCTCTGGCTTCTGGGAAATCCTGTATAAGCCCTGCCTATAGTTTGGTTTCCTGCTATCTTCTCCCAGTAGCAGGTGTTCTCCCAAGAAATCTCTTTCATTTGTTCCCTAATGTGAGCCATCTGAAGAAGCCAAGAAACAAAGAATTGGAGCTGGAATGAGGCTCTTGAGCTCCTGAGCTCAGCTGGGAATACCCTCCCCTGGGGGCTGTAAAGCAGAGCAGTGAAACAGAGTTGTTACACTGCTCTTACACAGTAGCATTCCAGCTTTTTTGGGATAGCCTTAGGGTTGCAAAGCTGGTGCTGAGGGGACTCCAAAGCTGGGGCTGATGAGGCTTCCTTTCAGAGCTGGGTGGTTCCTGGGCTCTCCTGTCTCTGGATACCTTTCCATTGGGATATTGTCCCACCTCAGAGTTATTTGGTTTTTTTTTTCAGGGGTCTGGGTCTCCTGTGTCCCAGGATATCTTTCCATTCTAGCAGTATGCTAATAATTATTTTATTAAAAGATGATCATAAAGATTAAATAAAAGTTTAAATATTAAAATTCATGAGGGACAAGTACATGAGTTGGGCCTGGTAATTATTAAGACTATGTGACCTTGCCTTTTACTGGTATACTTATCAGCTTTCTTAGTAACTGTTTGTTTGTTTTGTTTTGTTTTTTCTTGGGACAAGGTTCCTCTGTTGTGTTTGTCCAGAAACATGAATGTAGACCAGGCTGGCCTTGAACTCATAGAGATTCATCTGTTTCTGCCTCCTGCCTATATGCTGAAATTCTATTTTAGGAGTATGTGGGAAAACTACTAATTAAGGTAGAAGTCCACCATGAAAGGATAACCTCTGGGCTTGGGGTAATATGGTAGACTCCTGTTAGTAGAACTTCTCCTTCTCTGACTTTGTCTGGGAAGCCTACACATATGCTTCTACCTGAAGAATATCACATAACCTCAATTTACGTGAACAATTTGCTTTCTCATGACAAAACCTATTCAGGCAGCCCCTGAGATTCCTGAAATTCTTCCCCATGCTAATGAGACATTTCAGGTACCCTAAAACCCCAGGCTTTGCCCAATCTGGATGTTTCTACCCTTGGGACCCCTCCTACCTCCCCCTAAAAAGAAAAAAACATTATAAGCCTTGAATAACCCTAAGTAAAGTTGATATGCCTATTGACCTCTGGCCCCACTGTGGTCTTTCACCTCAGGTCCTCATGGGGCTTCCAAACACCCATTTGATGTCTCTACTCCCTTTGCCTTAAGGATTGTGTAGAATGGCGGGAGATCAAAGACCCTTTTTCTATGTAATGCTTTGTCTTCTTTGAGGAAAGGATGACAAGAGTCTGTTTTTGTAGCTTTGGCTGGCCTGGAATCATTGTGTAGACTAGGTTATCCTCAGACCTGCAGAAACTTTTCTGCTTCTCCCTCCCAAGCTGGGAATTACAGATATGTCATACCACA